TCATTGTCCTATTGTATTCCATTCTATTCTGTTCCGTTCCATATTCCGTTCCGTTCCATTCTACTTCAGTGCGCAAATTTGCTCCATCCAAACCATATGGGATATTATCAGGGAATCCACCATCACTCAGGGAATCCAACATTACTGGACCTTTGGATGCGAAATCCTGATATATTCTTTTCCTCCTTTTTAACATGGTCTGCCAGAGCAGCAGCTGCTTAATTTCCCCCCAGGAAATATCCAAGGGTCACAGACCCTTCTCTCTACCTAAAGGGTGCTGGCACAACACTAAGCAGGGAATGGCACCCAGTGACACAGAAGCGACATCAAACCGGAGCTGTGTTGAAACACAAGGTCTCTCTCCTTCTCCCAGATCAGAATCTCCTTTGCTTAAAATGGTCTTTTTAAAAAAAAAAAAGAAAAGAAAACCAGCTTGTTTCAGTGCCCTTCCCTTACACAGAACTCTTTAGCAAAAGCTTTCAGGGCTCATCCTACAATTTTCCTTCTAATTATAATCCAGCATAATTAAAGGGAGAAATAACTCCATAGAACAGTAAACACCGTCAGTAATTACAATGTTTGAGGTAATTAACTCGTCACTGACGATAACTAAATCTTATTAAGAACGAGTCTACTTGCTTGAGTCTAAACTCAGAACCTCGATATTTAGAGTATTTTTTTTTTTAAAGGAAGAAAGAAAATGAATAATTTTTCCCCTGTTCCCAGCCCAATATGTGGACTTTTATTGAAAAATATTCCCATTCGCAGCTGGGTAGTTTTTACAGATAGTTCCTCAGAGGAGAAGTTCATGGCTACAGAATTTAACTTAATAAAAGTGAAAGACCCCTCACGCATCATCACAAAATCTCCAGAACTGTAAAGCGTACAAACTTGAAATTTGGCACGTATGTTCCTCTTGGCTTCTAGATGCTCACTAAGAAAGGATTTTTCGAAATGACCATCAGAGTATTAGTATTTCCTATATTATTACTATTAACATGCTCTGATGCTAAGGAGTTCTACTCCCCCCCCCCCACCTGAAAAGAAATCTCTTCCAAATGCAAAACACAAGCAGAGGAGTTTCAGTTCCAGAGCAGCAACCAGCTTTAGTACAGAACAGTTGAGCTAAGCCATGCCCAGGCTCCTTGCTGTCTCCTTTCTCACACAGCAAATACTGTTTCAGTTTCCAAACAGCCCTCAACTCCCTCACACATTGACAGGACGCTAGCCAGATGAATACCGATGGATGCTGGTAGGCAGAGGCAGAATTTCCTCCCTACTTATTTTCCTCCCCCAAAACTAAGCCTGATCACATAGTTTCATAGCAAAGGAGGGATATCCAGCCAGTTATATAAATAAAACTTTTGAAGGGATGAGGGTGAATCTGCAAGAGGAAACCCCAAAATGAAGTAGGGAAGACGGAAAATTAAATCCCACTGGATTAAAGGTTCATGCAGGCAGTCCTCGACTTACGACCACAATCGAGCCCCGCGTTTCAGTCGCTAATTGAGACATTTAAGTGAGCTTTGCCCTCATTGACGTTGCTTGTCAGAAGGTCGCAAAAGGAGATGGCGTGACCCCAGGGACAGGGCGACCATCATAACTGTGAGCCAGTTGTCAGTGACCATAGGGGATGTGTGAAAAAAGGCCATAAGTCACTTTTTTCAGAGCCGTTGTAACTCTGAATGGCCAATAGGTCAATTGTTGTAAGCCGAGGAATACCAACGAACCACGATTAGCCTGCATTAATATTTAGCACTAACTCGCATGAAGCCAACTCTTGACACACGCCAATAGAAGGGGATGTTTGTAGCTCAGGATTGAACGGTTGCTGTCTGAGCTGACCATTTGGAGGCTTCAGTGTTGCCACACTGGAGCTGAGGGATAGGGAGGAGGGAATAGAGACAGCTGGAGTTTTGTAGCCAAAACAATACACTTTCTCTTGGGAACCAAGGTCATTCCCGCAGGTGGCCGGAGAAAGGAGGAGCGATATCACCAGGCAACCAGACGGGACCTTGATTGGACCGTGTGACTGACTGTTTGGGAAAGGGTGAGAATTAGGTGAAAACTGCGGGAATATTCAGAGTTGGTTTTCACCAACCTGTGCCCATATGATAAGTCCAATAAAACTATTCTTTCTTGTTCTTTCTACTTGCCTCGGAGTTCTGCTTGCTGTGGGCATATTATTTGGAACCCTGACACCTGAGTGTAAATGATACGCAAATCAAATCAAAGGCAAGCAAGCCTTGAAATCAGCCTGGAAAACTACAATGTGGTAGCTTCACCATCCTTGACCTTCCTGTGCCCAGGATGGAGTAGGAAAGGCCAGCCAGAGACGTCCTTAGTGAATACACAGGGCTCTGCCTTCCCACCGGGGTTTCCTTTAAAAACCATAGTACATGCCACGGTGGAAAAGGCATTCTTCTCCTCTTTCTGTACACACAGACTCCGGAACCGTTGTTTTTACTGTACTTTGATGCAAGTTTACACCGATGGACTGAAAAGCCCTATAAGCAAGCTGCCTGGTGTTTGTTTAAAGAACAATCCCGAGTATAAATAAAGCAGCAGGTATCAACGCCTCCTGCTCTTTAAGCAAACACCATCAATCTAAACCAGATTTCAGCGGAGCGAAGGCAAAGGAGGTAACGCTGTAGTTCCCCCTGCTGGAAAGATATGGGACTATTATATCATCCTAAGTTCAGGCATTGTGGAGAAACCAAGTTAGTTGGGCCCCCTATATCACCGTTGTTTTTAAAAATGGTTTGCTTCTTAAAAGCTTAAAAAATCAGCCTCACTGATCACTCTAGAGAAGACATCTTAAGAATTCATGGTGAGAAGGGAAGGGAAGGGAAGGGAGAGTTATGCTGGTTTATGACCGTAATAAATATTTGACTTGATTTAATAAGAGAATGTTTGCTTTCTCTACCACCCTAATGCATGCAAGACTTAATGGATGGATGGATGGATGGATGGATGGATGGATGGATGGATGGATGGAAGGAAGGAAGGAAGGAAGGAAGGAAGGAAAGAAGATCTATATTTCTAAAAAATGCCTGAAGGAGAAAAGGCTTAGCT